TCTATCGAGAGGAGCATCCTTCAGATGGAAAGGTCGGTTGCTGGCAGCACGTGGTAGCTGCTCTAGCTGGGAGTCCCAATGGGGTTCTTGTCTCAGTTGTAGTCCGTCCCCTGGTGGGGTGCGGTGCCAGTTGTAATGGTTGTTGGTGCGTTGGTTTCTCGTGGGGGCCGTCCGTGGTGGTCGAAAGGGTCGTCCTTGTCGACTGGGCCTGGCCGAGTTGGTTGGGTCTTCGGGTCTGCCAGTGGTGCCGGGTCCTGGCTGTTGATCAGGTCGCTCAGTTTTTTCGAGCAGATGGTTGGCGATGTCCCTATGGCACGCTGATATCGCAAACGGCGTCCACATGCCCGTGGATTGCAGCGTATTCCCAGCTTGATGTGGGTGAGGATGTCCCACAGCTTCATCTTGGCATAGTACGGGTTGGGTAGGTCCATACGTTCGCTGGCCACTAGACTGGGTATGACGTGATGCTGCAAAGCATTGGTGGATTATGAAGCGCACCAGGCCTCTCTGTTTGTCCGTCGTGCCGAGGCTCCTGAGCGGGTTGGCGGGTCGGTTGGCAGCCTCTCCCAGGTAGTTGTCTAGAGATCCGGAGAAGTAGGTCATTGCCAGGTCGTACTCCATGCGGTAGGTCGCCACAGGGTCGTTGATCTCCTTGATGGCCCTCCTTGATGGGCTTGTGGACGTGTACCTTGAATAGTGGCGTGGTGTGGTCATACTGGATGCTGCTGATGGTGTTGGTAAGGCGCCCAATGGCGTCGTGCTGCAGCTCAATGGTGGATGAGCCTGAGCGGATGCCAATGTGCGGAGTCTCAACAGGTGGCGGTGACCCCTCGTAGACCGTGGCCATGCCTGCCGGAGTTGGTGGTCCCGCAGCTTTCTTTGCTGGCGGTGCCTTGTATGGAACCTCGTCTGGTGACGTGGCCCCCGTGCTGCTGGCTGGGTAGCTCCCGTCGCGACTCGGTGGGATGGGGGACCGCCTGTTGGTGCATGGTGGCTTGGCCTGGTCGCTGAGGATCTTGTGCCCAGCCTCGCGGACGTCGGCCTCGATGGGGGACGTCAGGTCGTGGACGTCTTGCGGCAGTACCGTGATGCATCCGAAGACGATGACCTCGTCGGCTTCGATCCAGTTTGTTGCTTGGCGGGGCTGTGGGCGTCTGACGGTCGTAGCCTCGGTAAGCGGGGTCCTGTGGGGGCACGGTCGTCGCCGTCGTGGCCTCGTCTTCGACCTGCGTGACTGCTGGCGCATGCCAACACGTTGCCGCTGTGAGGCCACTGCGGGTCTCCGTTGGAGGGTGGCCCCAGTTGGAATTCGTGTCTGACTTCGAGTTCGTCGAAGTGGTGGATGGGAACGCTGCACTCTGCCTGGCAGTTCTGGAGGTCGTGCAGGCCGTACTTTGGGCGATTTCGCAAGTAGGGCGCAAATGTCCGCCCTGTTTTTCGAGCTCTTTTGATACCGACCTGCTCTGCCGCCGCTGTTTTTGCGCCACAGCTTCGCGAGGAGATCCGTCCGATCCTTCCGAGGCGGAAGTGTCCGTCCTGCTTCTTGTCGCACCGTCCGGGATGCAGCTCCGATGCGCTTGCAAGTCGGATCGTCCACCGAAGCACGGCGAATCCGGAGTCAGAGGGCCGGCCCGGCCCGTCCAGGAGCAGGAGGCGAGAGAGGCAGCGCCGGGCGCAGGCCGTCGGCACCAGGAAGCCCGGTCTGTTGGACCTGGGCCCCCCGCGGCAGAGCAAGAGCTGGGCGGGGGTCGGGGGAGATCCCTCCCGAAGAAAAAAAAAAAAAAAAAAAAATGCCGTGGGCCGCCCGCGCGCGCGCGGGCGGCCGCCTGCGGGGAAGCGCCGCCGCCGCCGCCCCGGCCAGTGGCAGGCCGGGGAGGCCGCTCGGGCGCAGGGAGGCGCTCGTGGCGGCAGGCCGCCGAGGCTCCCCCTGGGGACGAGGGGGAGAGAGACGGGCCAGGGAGGAGGAGGAGGAGGAGGAGGAGGAGGAGGAGGAGGAGGAGGAGGAGGAGGGAGGAGGAGGAGGGAGGAGGAGGAGGGGAGGAGGAGGAGGGAGGAGGAGGAGGAAGAGGAGGAGGAGGAGGAGGAGATGGAGGGAGAGCAGGGGGAGGAGGAGGAGGACCAGCGTAAACCCAAGACTCAGCAACGATGTTGAAGCACGCCCTCCCTCCAAGATCTCTCCTCATAGGCCCCTGCAAGGGGTCATTTCCACTGAGGGAAGTGCCCCGTTGGGAGGCAATCGTGTGAACATCTTTGAGCGTGCCAGAACCACATTCTCAGGACTTCAACGCCACGAAGTAACCTGACTGTTACGTCGTGGCGGTCCTGAATCGTGCCAGAAAACCATTCCTGGGGTTTCAACACCGCGAATCAACGTAATTGTTGCGCCCTGACAGTCCTGAATCGTTCCAAAACACCTTTTCCGATACGTGAACCATGAGAATCCGTGAAACTCTTGTACATATTGCGAAGGCCTTACTGCCGTCGCCGCCGACCCCGAAAGGAGACGACGACGACGACGACGACGACGACGACGACGACGACGACGACGACGACGACGACGACGACGCTAACGTGGGCCAGATTCCTCAGGGATGCTGCTTGGAGTCTCTTCGGAAGGCTCTCGGGGGCCTCTGGGAACGAATTGCTGGGGTCTCTTAGGACCCTTTGGGGGGCCTCTTGGGAGCCTCTTAGGGGCCTCTTCGGGCTTCCTGGGGCACTCTTGTAGGCGTCTTGGGGCCTCTTGTGAACCTCTGGGGGCCTCATGGGAGCCTCTTGGGGTCGAGGGCTAGACATGTCCGTTCAGGTCCCCCGTCTGGGCACGCTCTTGGAGCCGCCTTGGGGGCCTATGGGGCCGTCTTGGAGGCGCTTTGGGCTGTCTTGGGGTCCTCTTTGACTGTTTCGGGGCCCTCTTGGGCCGTCTTGGGGCGATCTTGAGGCCTCTGCGGCCGTGCTGGAGCGGGGGGAAGCGGAGAAGGCGAGAACCCCCAAATCTTTCAAAAATTGAAAGGGAAATGAACGAACGTTGCTCCTTGGAGCCCCCTTGGGGGTGCTCTTGGACGCCTGTTCGAGCGTCTTGGATGTCTCCTGGGCAGTCTGGAGGGCGTGAAAGCGTTTGGGACCGATCATTTGGCGATTGAGGGCTCTCTTGGACCGTCTCGGGGACCTCTTGGGCCACGCTTGGCCTGACTTGGTATTCTTTGCGGCCCCAGGACCCCTGGGAGAAGATGCGCATTTGACCTGGGAGCCCCCCCCTGAGATGCGCATCTGACCCGGGACACCCCCCCTCGGGACCCCCCCCTCGACGGGGGAGGGATCAAAGGGAAGGGGCTTCCCTTCGATTCGATTACGACGTTGCCAGTTTTCTCTCTCGCTGACAGGCTTGAGGAGAGGAGGGTGCAGAGAAAGGGGACGACGGAGACGACGACCGACGGAGACGACGACTCGAACAGACAGACCCCTCGCACACGCCGACAGGGTCGGCGGACTTGAAGAAATGTGCGCGGTGCGAATGCGAGAGCCACATTAAAAAAAGGAACCGCCCTCAACTCGTGGAACTCTTGCAAGCGTGTTGAACGAATGTGCGCAGCGCGGAGGCGAGAGCCACATTTTGACAACGTTTCGCCCTCAATCCGCGAAACTCTTCCAAATTCTGAAAGCGAATGCGCTCGGTGGTAAGGCGAGAGCCACATGTTGAAAACGAGCTGCCCTCAATCCGTGAAGCTCTTGCAACGTGTTACACCGAAATGCGCGCGGCGCTGAGGCGAGAGCCACATTTTGAAAGCCACCCGCTTTTAATCCGCGAAGCTCGTACACATTGATAAAACGAATGTGCACGTCGCTAAGGCGAGAGCCACATTTTGAAAACGGCCCGCCCTCCATTTGTGAAATTGTTCTCAATGTTTAAGCATCAGGGTCATAAATGGTGCGGGAGTCTCAGGCGAAACGCTTGGCCCGCCCTTTCGACCAGCCTCGGGGTGCGACAGGGAGGAGATACGTATAGGTAAGGAAAATGAATGGAGGAGGAGGAGGAGGAGAAGGAGGAGGACGAGGACGAGGAGGAGGAGGAGGAGGAGGAGGAGGAGATGGAGGAGGAGCCAGGGTTGGCCCTCGCAGTCACTCTGGATGCGCAGCCATCTTGGCCCGCCGCGGCCCAGCGCGGCGCCCGCGCGCGCTGCGGCCGATGCGGCTGCCGCGGCTGCTCGCTGCGGGACTGGCTCACGCGGCAGCCGCGGAAGGCGCCGCCGCCGCTGCCGCGGAGGCGTGGCCGGCGAGCGTTGCCCTGCCACCCGCCGCCCAGCCCCACTGGGGCGCGGAGGTCAGGGGCAACGATGGGAGGGATATCGGAAGCCCCAACACCATCACCAATATCAGCGGTGTGCCTCCAACACCAACGATAGGTTGGCACCAACACCAATACCGGCGGTGTGCTTCCACCGAAGGAACATGATCCCGATATCGGTGATAGTGGTACTGTTCGGGCTTCCTGGGGGGCCGCAATTTATCAACAACACCGCGATCTAGGATCCTCGTCCCTCGGTGGAGGCACCCCCCTGACCCCCTTGTGTTGATGCTGGTGCTCCTTTCCAAGCCGCCAATGGATAGGCTCAGGAGGGGGAACATCGAGCTGGATCCGGCGACAGATCGGCGACGGGCCCCAGGTGGCGAATCTGCACGTTCCTGGGCGGGGTGGCCTACCTGGCTCCTGTTGGCGGTGCATCGCCGTATCCAGCTCGATGTGTCACCCCCTGAGCCCATCCCCCCCGACCGCTGCTCCTTCGGAGGGCCAGTGCGGGGCGGAGCACGCGCGGGCGCTGCGGCGGGCGGCGGAGCTGCAGCGGCAGCTGGAGGAGCTGCGGCGCAGCGGAGGCCGCGGCGCCTGCGCGTCGGAGTGCGCCGCCGCCGCGGCCGCCGGCCTGCGCGGCGGGCCCGGCGCGGCCCTGCGGGGCGCCGGCGTGGCGGGGCTGGCGGGGGCAGCGCTGGGGGGGGAGAGGCTCCGGGAGGCTCGAAGTGCGAGGTCTTCGGCCGTGCTCCTCGGCTCCCGGCGGCGCTTCGGCCTCGGGGCGCCTTCCAGCAGCTGCGCCTCGCCGCGAGCACTCCGGGGCTGCCCGGAGCGTCCCGAACGGCCGCCGGAGAGCCGAGTGGTGATCCGAAGGCCAGGTGGCAGCGACAGGGCGGGGCGCATCGACCACCAGCCGCCCGATGGCCCCCTCCGCCCAGGGCCGTGCAAGCCCTGTCGCCGAGCTGTCGGCGAGGCATCGCCGATGCCAAGTCGGCGCTGCCCCCGCGGAGCCGGTGCCCTCCCCCAAAGTTCCCCCCGAGGCTGGCGGGGGCGGAGGTCGCGGGCGGGGCGGGGGCGCCCTCGGCTCTGGCACCGAAGGAGACAGAACGGCATAGGCACAGTTGAGAAGCATCGAGGGTGGAAAATCCCACGCAGAGTGGAGGGACGTCTGGCGGAGGCCACTGGCGGCAGAGTAAAGTCGAAGCTCCTTCTCCGCCTCCTCCTCCTCCTTCTCCTCCTCCTCCTCCTCCTCCTCCTCCTTCTCCTCCTACCCCTCCCCCTCCTACCCCTACCCCTCCTCCTCTCCTCCTCCTCTCCTCCTCCTCCTCCTCCTCCTCCTCCTCTCCTCCTCTCCTCCTCCTCCTCTCTACCACTCCTCCTTCCTCCTCCTCCTCCTCTCCTCCTCCTCTCTCCTCCTCCTCCTCCTCCCCTCCTCTCCTCCTCCTCTCCTCTCCTCCTCTCTCGCTCTCTCCTCCTCTCCTCTCTCTCTCTTCTCCTCCTCCTCTCCTCCCCCTCCCCCTCCTCCCCTCCTCCCTCCTCCTCTCCTCCTCTCTCCTCCTCCCCCCTCCTCCTCCTCCTCCCCTCCCCTCCCCTCTTCTCCTCCTCTCCTCCTCTCCTTCCTCCTCCTCCTCTTCCTCCTCCTCCTCCTCTCCTCCTCCTCCTCCTCCTCCTCTCCTCCTCTCCTCCCTCTCCTCTCCTCCTCTCCTCTCGTCCTCTCCTCCTCCTCCTCCTCTCTCCTCCTCCTCCTCCTCCTCCTCCTTCCTCCTCTTCTCCTCCCCCCCTCCTCCTCCTCCACTCTTCTCCTCTCCTACCACTCATCTCCTCCTAACCACTCCTCCTCCTCTCTACCACTCCTCCCCCTCCTCCTCCTACCACTCCTCTCCTCCTCCTCCTACCACTCCTCCTCTCATACCACTCCTACTCCTACTACCACTCCTCCTCCTCTCCGCCTCCTCTCCTCCCTCCTCCTCCTCCTCCTCCTCCTCCTCCTCCTCCTCCTCCTCATCCTCTCTTCCTTTTCCTCCTCCTCCTCCTCCTCCTATCCTCCTCCTCCTCCTCCTCCTCCTACTCCTCCGCTCCTCCCACTCTCCATCCTCCTACCACTCCTCCTCCTCCTACCACTCCTCCTCCTCTCCTCATCCTCCTCCTACTCCTCCTCCTCCTTCTCCTCCTCCATCTCCTCCTACTTCGCCTCCTCCTCTCCTCCTACTCCCCTCTCCTCCTCCTCTCCTTCCTCCTCCTCCTCCTCCTCCTCCCTTCCTCCACGTCCTCCTGCCTTCTGGAGGGATGTAGGAGGTGTGCTCCAGTGGTGGCGGTAGGGCTGTGGCGCCCACCTGTGGGTTTTTGAGGGGCTCATGGTGTCCCCTGATGCCCACCCAGTCCCGTCCACAGGGACTTCGCACCACCCCCCTTACGGGGAGGTGGGTGGCAGGGTTGATCACCTGGGGTGGGTCCCTGCCCCGTCTTCTGAGGGGCCCGGCCGCGCGCGTGCTCTGCTTTGCTCTCCTACTCTCTACGCCTCGTCGCTGCACGCGAGGCCGCGGCGCCGAAAAAGGGGGTCCGCGCAAACGTCTTGGATCTGCGCTGGAACCAGCCAGCGGCGCCTCCGGCGCCGCCCCTGGCGCGCTCCGCGCGACAGGCATAGGGGGCCTGGCGCCGATCCAAGAAATCCGCGCGGACCTCCGAAAGTCTACGGTCAGGAACTTTGGCTGAACGTGTCGTTCCGCCGGAGGCCCACCACGCTTCGGAGCGACGCCCTATCTGCGTCCCAGTCCCCGAGCGTCAGCTTCCCGAGCTTCCCCCAGCCTCCCGCCCCGCGGAGCGGAGCGGCACGCTATCCGCTTGCAAGGGATGGCGTGTCGCCAGGGCCGCCGCCGCGACACGTGAAACAACGGTTTCTGACCTTGTGTTTACGCCGTTGTTTCTTCTTTTGTAGCATCCGAGCGCCTGGCGCCCGGCACCAACGGCTTCTGCTTGTGCTTCGCGCTTGCGCTGTTGTGCGTCTCGATGGCCGCGCTGGCCGCTGGCCTCACTATGGGCCTCGTGTCCCTTGACCGGAGCGACCTGGAGACACTGCAGGGGGAGGACGAGAAGGACGTGCCTGGGATACTGGAGAAGCAAAGGCTGAAGGACGACAAGGTCGCGGCGCAAAAGGTGCTGCCCCTGATCGCCAACCACCACAGGCTGCTGGTCACCCTGCTGCTGATGAACTCAGTGGCGAACGAGGCCTTGCCGCTGTTCCTCGACAGGCTCGTGCCGTCGTGGGTTGCAGTTGTGCTGTCGGTGTCCCTCGTGCTCGTGTTCGGCGAGATCGTGCCCTCCGCGGTCTTCACGGGCAGCAACCAGCTCGAGTACGCCTCCAGGTTCACGGGGCTGGTCAGCTGCTTCCAGGTGGTCCTGCTGCCGATCGTGTGGCCCATCGCGCAGATGCTCGACCGCGTGCTCGGCACGGACCACAAGCAGGAGACCCGCTTCTCGCGGCTGCGGGCGATGATCAAGATCGCGGCCCAGGCCGGCAAGGTGGAGATCGTGCAGGCGAAGGGCCAGGACATCGGCATCATCACATCCGCCAGCGAGCACAACTTCACGGACGAGAGCGTCGTGGTGTACAGGGGCGGCGGCGTGCCGGGCAAGCTGCAGGTCGGCCAAAGGTGTTTCGTGAAGCCGTGTTGCGACGTCCACGGGCGCAACCAGGGCTGCACGTTCAACATCTACCCCAGTGAGGACCGAAAGCAGAACACGGAACTGACCTTCTCGTCGAAGCAGCCACTCACCGACTGCGTCTTGGAAGTGCAGGAGCGGGACGAGGCGAAGATCATGCGCGGTGTCGCCGAGATGACGCATACGGAGATTGCCGACAGCATGAAGCCCATGGACGAGGTCGACATGCTCGAGCTGGAGACGAGGTTGGACAGGGAAAAGCTGATAGAGATAGACAGGAGGGGCCACTCCCGTCTGCCCGTGTACGACAAGAACAAGCACAACATCAGGGGGTTCATCCTCGTGAAGAACTTGATTGTCTACGATCCAGAGACCAACCTCGAGGTGAAAGTCCTGAGTCCGTTGATGAAGAAGCCCGTGCTCGTCAAGCCAGGAATGAAGCTTCTGGACCTCCTGAACCAGTTCCAGGAGCACCGCACCCATTTCGCCATCGTGACGAACATGCCCGAGAGGGTCCAGGAGGCATGGGAGACGGGGAAGCCCATCCCTGCCAATGTCCACATGGCGGGCATCATCACGCTGGAGGACGTGATAGAGAGGCTGCTCCTGGAGGAGATCGACGACGAGGCGGACAACTATTGCGATGTCCCCTCCAGGAGTCGAAGAAGAACAAACTTCGTATAAATACTATCTGTACGAAGTTGCGAATCCAAGTTCGAATATGAAGTTCGAATCCGAGAAGTCCGCGCGGCCCGCCAACAACCTAAGGTTGTTGGAGGGCCGCGCGGATTTCTTGGATCGGCGCTGGACCTCCCTCCCTGACGCGGAGCGCTAGGGGCGGCGCCGGAGGCGCCGCCAGGGGGGCCCAGCGCTGATCCGAGACATCAGCGCGGACCTCCGAAAGTTTATGCTTACGGTAGGGTCAGGGTGGAATGCCGCCAGTGGCCCAGAATCGTCCAGTATGGAACGATCTGGCGATCGAAAAGCTGCCGACCATTCGAGGTTGAACGATCCCACGCGGTGTCGTGAACCAGCGCCGAAGTCGTCACGACACGAACTTGCCGCACGCATCCGTCTGTGTAAGGGCACCTCCACCCCGCCTGGCTGAGGGTGAGGGCCCCCAGGAGCTCAAAAACACCGAGCCCACCCCCAGCCAGGAACCCCTGGATCACCAGGTCGGAGGTCCTGGCCTCGGGGTGGGGGTGCGTGGTGCCGTCCTCACAAAAAGACGCGTGCGGCCCTGCACGCACGCATCCTTTTGTACTGCCACCCTGGCATCCGCCGACTTTCAATCCGCGGGCCCAGCGGCCCAGAGGCATCGACCACTTCCCTGGGGACAGCTTTTCGCCCCAGATCCAGGTTAGCCCGGAAACGGCCCCCCACGAGATCGACAGCAGACACGCCAACTCCAAAAAGCTCATCGTCTCAACGTGCCACAGGGCACTGCGGCGGATAACGGACGTTTCTTGTGGCGTTCATTCCTGATGAGAACAAAAACAACTGGATTGAAAAAGTACCCAAAAATCTTGTCGTCGGATGCCGGGCTTGGTCCTCGCAGGAGTTTGATTGGGCACTCGCGGTCCTTCTGGGAGAACCCCGCGGCCTACTCCAAGCGGGAGGTCGGGACGGAGGGTCGCGCCGTCTCGGCGCCAGCCGGCCTGCCCGGCCTGAGGCACCCGCTGCTGGGCGACGAGGGGGCCGGGGCCCCGGGGGAGGCGGCGGGCAGCCAGGAGAGCCGGGGGCCCCCAAGCTAGCGGCGCGGTGGCCGCTCCACGCGTGGTGAGCCAGTGGGGGGCCTGGGGTTTTCGGCCGGCTCCGTCGGCCCCCGGGAGTCTTCCAGCCCCGGGAGGCGTTCCAGCAGCTGCGCCTCGCCGGGAGCGTGCCGGGGGGGCGCCCGGATCGCCCCGAAGGGCCGCCTGCGACGCGAGTTGCGGCCCGGAAGCCAAGCATTCGGAGGAGGGCCGGTGCGGTGCGTCAGTGGGTCACTGCACGGCTTTGGGATTCGGGCCGTTTTCCGAGGGCGCCCCGGGCGACTGGGGCCTCCAGGGCCCCAAGGGCGCGCGGTGACGGACCGTGCGGTGAGGTCTCTGGGAATGTCGAAGTCACCGCACCGCTTCGGCACCCCCCAACAGGAGTCGGGGTGCTGGATCGCCTGAGGCCTGGGCTGCATCTCGGAGGAGGGCCGATGGAGGCAACGGGCCGCCCATGGCGGCGCTCTCGTCCTCTCCAGGCATCCGGGGGCTCCTCGGCGCCGCGGCGGGCCCGCATCGAGGAGAGGGCCAGGGCGGAAGCACGAGGGCTCAAAAGGCCTCCCTCCTCCTCCTCCTCCTCCTCCTCCTCCTCCTCCTCCTCCTCCTCCTCCTCCTCCTCCTCCTCCTCCTCCTGGGCTGGGCGGGAGGGCCGCACTTGTCTGAAGCGGCGTGCCTTCGATGATTCCGCCCTGGGCGATCCCAGTGCTCGCGCCGTCTCTCCCCCGAAGCGAGGAGTTGCTGCCGGCCAGACGCAAGAGTGTCTTTCGCCGGAGGGGCCTTCGGTGCGGGCACAGAGGGGTCCTGTGCGTGAAGACCGCTCATCTCCCCTCTCAATCCATCTTTCCTGCTATCCTCTCCGCTCAGGTATTGGACTAAAGGATGTCCTTTCTACGCTCTCTTCTCATCGGGCGCGAGGATAAAAGATCTTCATATTTCATTTTCCTTCTCCTCTACCTACGGACCATACGGTAGATTCGACCCTCTGGTCGTCAACCTCAGCTCACAGGTCTCCAGACGGCTGGAAGCGAAGCTGTGGCAGCGGCTTGCACGCTTGTGTGCTGGCCCCCCCGCGGCACCAAAGAAGCCGCGCACCACAGGTCACTCTTACAGCCAACCCGCATAGCACTGGAGGGCAACTTTCCCACGGGTACCCTTGCATCCTTGCCTCCTCGGCCCATCATTGGAAACTTTCGTTGGCCGCGCCCCGCTCGAAAAGCTTCGAAGTGGGAGTCCAAGGCCCTTGTATCCTTACCGCGCATCCTTATGATACGGGCCGACTGTACCCATCGTCTCTCGTGCGTGTAGCCGAGGCCGGAGGCGGGAGCTTGATGGCGAAACAGGGCCAGCGGCAGATCGGGGCACTGGCAGGCCAGAAAGGGCCGTGCGCATCAATGGCGGGCCAGAGGTGGGCTCGGCTGACTGCTCGGAGGCACCGCGTTCCGGAGCACTCCCGCCAGAATGTGCGCTCTCTCTTTCCCACCTTCTTCTTGGGGTAGCCCCACAAGAAGCCCCACGAGGCGTCCCAACGGCCCGCGACGGCCCGGCAAGGACAGCCTCCCAGACTCTGCCTAGCAGGCTCTCAGCTGCGCCCGAAGCTGCACTCCCACCAGAACGTGCCCCTCTCTCCCCTCGTGCCGCCTCCTCCGGGCATTCCGGCGGCTGGCTTCCTCCTCCCTGTGCCCCGCGCCCCCGTCCCTCCAGCCCTCCTCGAGCTCGCCTCGATCTTCCTCGGAGGCTCCTCGAGCCTCATCGGACCCCCCTCGAGCCTCGAACCTCCGAGCCACCACGACGACTGTTTCTGTTGCTCCCCCCGCTCTTGGCTCCTGGGCCCGCTGCCCTGCGCGCCCGCGGCGCTGTCCCCTTGGCTCCGACGCCCCCCGAAGCTCTCAAGGGACCCCACCCAGGGGCTAGGAGGAAGAGGAGGAGGAGGAGGAGGAGGAGGAGGAGGAGGAGGAGGAGGAGGAGGAGGAGGAGGGGAAGGAGGAGGAGGAGGAGGAGGAGGAGGAGGAGGAGGAGGAGTGCACACCCGCCAGAGCGTGCTTCTCCCCCATCGTGGTCTGCCCAGGGCCGCCGAGCACAGCTCTGGGAGGCCTCCCAGCAGCTCACGACGACCCCGAGGCAGTCGAGGCCGCCTTCCCAGGGCAGTCCAACGGAGTTTCCTCTGTGTTCCCGAGGCCTCCTCCCTCCTCTTCAACATCCGACCGCTTCAGACACATTGTAAGTTTCACCGACATGCCAACTCCTCGAATCGAATATTGCGAAAGGCGCGAGTCTGTTTCGGAACGCTCTACGCGCTCGTTCCACCAGTACCTTTGCGGAAGGGCGGTCGTTCCCTCATATGTTTGCATGCTCTGCGCATCTTGCAGATCAGCCCGCACGCAGCCCTCTGCACAAATCGCAGGAAAGCGGATCCGATGGCCGCACAAGGTTGCGCAATTGTGGCCTAGAGCCTGGACGTGTGAAGCGCGCGCGGGGTTCTAAGATGCCATACGGCCGCCACCTACAAATCATTTAGTTGATGCACCTACGACAAACAGCACAGATCATTTCAACAAAACGTCTCGCCCAGCTCCCGCAAATCGGAGTACAAGATTTGGGAGACGACTACCATCTGAATATCCCTACTACCAGTGCTGCGTTCCAAGAAGCAGAGTTCCGTAAGCTAGCGCGTACCCTTCGGGAGCCTCCTCGGTGATTCTGTGCGTCTCTGCAGAACATATGTTTTGGGTTGGATCTCATAGACGGACATGTGCCTGACAGCAGTGGCATTGAGCTTCGTATCTTCACTTCAGAAATACAAGTGTGGCCAACGGACGAAGATGCACAGAGGAGGGGGCGACACAATCGAAACAAATGATACATGTTGTCCCCACGGTGATTGGGAGCGTACGCTACGAGAACCATCCGACCTTACGGCAATGACTTCGCGAGCTAGCCCTCGCACCAACCACGCTGAGCCCGACGACGCCAGACGGCGGCATCAACAAGCAGAAGGTGAAGCCAAGACGCGAGGAATATATGGGGTTCGCATTTTGATCACGTCTACGTGGTCGGTCACAAGAACCGCGGCCACGCTGGCAGAGCTACGGGATTGAGAAGTGGAGCGCGATTTAAGATTCTTCGACGTAGCGGCCGTCCTTGCCCCCCCCCCTTCCCCCCGCCCCCCCACGGTGACGTAGCCTCTGGCGCCAGCGGGGCTTGGAATGATTGCCCCAGACCATTCCCAGACCCCCTGGGCGCAACATATTACATCACGAGTCGATATTTGGCTTGATGTTCTTCCATGCCGACGTCGCCGATGCATCATCGCCGATGTCGCCGATGCATCGGCGATACAGCGCGATCCTCCGACCTCCATTCGGACCCCATGCGAGAGACCATTCAACAACATTGCAGCGAAGCAGTAGCAGGGGCACGAGCTCGGGAGAATGCAGCCCGAGCACAGCAAGTGCACATTCGAAAACCAAATGCCAGAGAAATGCGGTGCGCCGCTAGCAACCCAAGTAGTGTCAAAGCAGGAGGGGGAGGAGGAGGAGGTGGAGGAGGATAAGGAGGACCAGTGTAAACCCAAGACAAGTCAAAGATGTTGAAAGACACCCTCCCTCCAAAATCCCTCTTCATAGGCCCCTACAAGGGATCATCTCCACTGTGGGAAGTGCCCCGTTCGGGGACAACCGTGTGAACATCTTGAAGCGTGCCATAACACTGTTCTCATGATTTCAACGCCACGAGTTAACCTGACGGTTACGTCTTGGCGATCCTGAATCGTGCCAGAACGCCGTTCTTGGGCAGCCAACACCGCGAGTCAACGTAATTGTTGCGCCCTGACAATCCGGAATCGCTCCAAAACACAATTTCTGGTACGTGAACCATGAGAACTGGTGAAATTCCTGCAAATGTTTACAACGAATGCGCGCAGTGCTAAGGCGAGAGCCATAGTTTGAAGAGGAGCCGCCCTCAATCCTTGAAAACGAATGTGCGCGGCGCTACGGCGAGATCGACGACATGTTGAAAACGACCCGCCCTCAATCTGTGAAGCTGTTGCAAACTTTATGCGCGGCGATGAGGCGAGAGCCACTTTTTGAAAAAGACCCGCCCTCAATCTGCGAAATCCTTGCAATCCTTAAAGAATGTGCGCGGCGCTGACGCGAGAGCCACATGTTGAAAACCACCCGCCCTCCACCTGTGAAACTGTTGTCAATGTTAAGCTTGAGGCTCATTAATAGTGAGGAAGTCTCAGGCGAAACGCGGGGCCCGCCATTTCGACTGGCCTCGGGGTGCGACAGGGACGAGTTATCTAGAAGGACAGGAAATGGTGGAGGAGAGGAGGAGGGAGAGGAGGAGGAGGAGAAGGAGCAGGAGGAGGAGGAGAGAAGGAGGACGGAGCTACAGTGCCGACACCTGTGCCAGAGGGCACAAAGGGTCGGCATGGGTCCGCGGCAAATCCCCGAGCCCACTCAGAGCTGACCTTGGCACACATCGCTGCACAGCTGTACCCAGGAGGTCCCACCGCCTGCGCTGTAAGGTAGGAGCGATACCTGTCCGGATTCGCGGATGTGATCTTCGTGATTTTTCTTTGGCCAGTGATGGCACGTAGCACCCCGCAATTGCGGATAAGAGTGAGGGGGCGGGCGTGGGGAGGGTCGCGGGTGGGTCGCAGGATGAGTCGCGGGTGGGTTGCGGCTGGGTCGCGGGGTGGGTCGCGTGTGGGTCGAAGGTGAGTCGCGGGTGGTTGGCGGGTAGGTCGCGGGCCGGGTCGCAGGCGGGACGACGACAACAAACAACAAACAAGAAACAAGAAACAACAAACAGCAATAGCATTAGCAGCAACAGCAGCAGCAGCAAAAACACAATCATGTGCAGACTTTTCGCCTCATCTGCTCACGTGTCATCCAATACGTATCCCCCAAACCCTCGGTACCCGCCCTCGTCGTCTTCGATCGTACTCCCTTGGGGGTATATATCTTCCTTACCTGCCACGCGCATTTAGTGCAGCCCCTAAAACAGGGGAAGAGAGGACAGGTGAAGGGGGAGGGGAAAGCATGGAACACGAGAGAAAATAGCAGAATGGTGGCAAGGAGCAGGAAACACGTGGTAGAACCAGACTGGCAGATCGGGCGGGCAGACCCATAGCGGACGGGTCGGGAAGGCGGGCCCAGGCGACCAGGTCGAGCAAGCGGGTTGCTGAAGCGTGGGGCCTGCATGAATCGCGATAAATCCTCGAGCGCTAGCGAGATTCCAAAGTAAGTCGTGAGAAAGGTCAAAGCGAGAGCGTGATTACTGAGCGTCGAGGGCGCATCGTTCGAATAAGTTGCGAGGGCGTCCCATGCGAGAGCGCGATTCTTACATGAATAGTGGGCAAATCCCGAGCGAGAGTGCGATTCTTCAATAAATTGTCCGGAAGTATCAGACGGGAGCCGCTGTTGTTGTAAACCGGGGGCCAACAATTTGATTCTGATATCCAAGACTTTCCATTATTCAAAACAGGGTGCGAGCCCCAGGAAGGGCATTTTTATTGACAAGACACTATGTGCCCCAGAGGGGGATCAACAGTAATTATGTTTTAGAATGAGAATTCAACAACAACCACAACAACAACAACAACAATTACTAGCACGTGGGGACACACCGTTCTCACCAGTGCCAGGGTTTTCATAGGAGGCGGGCAATACCCCCACTTTGTGGGGGGGCCGGTTCAAGCTCTACCAAATTTCCAAACGACTCTTCGCCACCACCCACACCCAGCTTCCCGCCCTATGACGTTCGGACACTTCACTTCGTGGCATGCGGACGACCGTGGCTACTATTCAGGGCCCCGCGGCCGACGACGACGGCGTGCGCGCGCGAAGAAAAAACGAATGTGTCCCGCATGGTATTATTTGACAGGGATGATGGCCCTGGCAGGTGCGCAACCGTTGTTGCAGAAGTTCGAAAAAGTTGCTCGCAAAAGCCCGTTTGACAGAAATGTTTAAAAAGTGTTGGGTTTCCTACGAATCCGCAAGAGCGCGCGGGATGAAATTTTCAATTTTTTTGAAAAACATTGGTTTTTTGATGCTTTTATGTTAAAATCGCTACGACAACTTTGCCGTTTGGTTATGTTAGAACAAGACATGTCATTTTATATTGTTTTTTGACAGGGAAAGCGGGCGGAAACAACCGGGACTCCCCCGTTTTGCCTGAGACTTCCTCACGAAAATGATGAAAATGTGGCTGCGGCCTAGGCGCGGCGAGGGGGGCGTGCACCAGGGGGCCCAACAATAATTATTCTTTAGAAGTAATAATATTCAACAACAACAACAACAACAACAACAACAACAACAACAGCAACAGCAACAGCAACAGCAACAGCAACAGCAACAGCAATTACAACAACAACCGCAACAACAACAACTGTCATTTTAAGGCTGTTCGCTCTTATCTGCTTGAGTGTCCGTTGACGCGTATTTTCCAAACCCTCGATACCCGTTCTTTTCGCCTTCGATCGTACCCCCTTTAGGGGGTATACTTTTCTTCCCTGCAGGCCGGGCCCCGGCAATCGGCCGGCGGGGCGGCCGCGGATCGTCGGCTTGGCCAGCGGCAGCGCTGATCGGCGGCAGCCCGACCCCAAGAGGGACGGACAGGGGACCAGTGCCGCCAGTCCCACCATCCTGTCGACGACGGCATCGACGGTGATGGCGATGACCACGATCCGCCAATCGCACCCTCCCGACGATCCCCAGAGGGCCCGCCTCTGCAAACCCCGTGCGACGATCGCGCATTGAGCGATCTGAATGACGATCTTGCGGGCGGCATGGGTGGCATACAGAGCTCTGAACGTGTTAGGCCTTGGCCCGATGCCGATGCCGACGACACCGACGCGTGCCCCAGCCAGTTTGGGACCACGCGCCGACCCCCTAACGACACGACCGTCCGACGCCCCTCCCCAACAAGAACAGCAGGGCGAAGAGGAGGACGACATTGATGTCGATCGGTTGCGTCCTCCGCCCGGTGCTGCTGGAGCAGCATCTGATGTGTTGCATTTGGTGGCTTCGATGCCACTGGGGGGCGACATCGCAACCTTAGATGGGCACGCGGAGAACGACACCAGTGGGGCGCATGTGATATCGGCTGGGATACGTGAGTGCCCAGACTTGCAACAATATTTGGCATCACTGTTACGCCCACCATCGCCTCGATAAGCACAGCTTGCCCAACCTCAGTCGACCGTTCCGCCGATGGGGCCTGAGCCGCAACCAGCTCGGACTGAAGAGCGGGCCACCCG